TTTTAGATTTCGTTCTCGTAGATACCTTTGGCAATGAAGATATTTTTGTCACCAAAGGTGCCTATGGCGACGAAATATGAAATTTGTCGCTAAAAGTCTATTGCGATGGACCGACCAACTTGATAATGGAAAAAAAAAAATCGTCAGAAAAGAGTTTTACCGACAAAATATTGAGCTTTGGCGATAATTTTGTCGGCTGGAAAAATTCAAATTTCTTGTAGCTTCAACAAGTTGGTCATCACTTCTTTTTTAATAGAAGAATTGAGAGATAATTACATCGAAAAAGCAACTTTTTTAGGGTGACAATTCTTCAGTAGAGAGAAAAAAAGATTGTTGGCTGTATGTTCTCATAACGTCAGTTGGGTTTTTCATATTTTATTCCTAGATAGCCATTGTCGTGGTGCATAGAAGTTAGGTAGCTATTATCGTAATATTCTAGAGAGTGTTATAGAGAGAAAGTGAGACCAATTGTAATCTTCCCATCATGTAGAACTTTTAGTCGTAGGATACTAGTTGTTGTCCCAATTTTGGGGCGAACCAATATATTAATTTTCTTATGTTTGATTTTCTATCCCTACCTCATATTTCTTTTATAAACACTGATATGATTCATTAGGTAGAAGGAAAAATTAGTTAGATCGTGGTTGGATAACTCCTATTGGAGGACTAGTCGGTTTTTTTATTTTATTTCCAACATCCGTTACGGTACTACTATAGTTGCTTATGTCTTCCTGCACACTCATTACCATCTGATAGCACATTCGAGAGAGCACGATGAGTTCTGATCTGCAGGGCCGACTTAAGCTATAGGCGAGCGAGGCGAACGCCTAAGGCCATCATTTTAGGAAGACCTCATATTTTCCTATAATATATAATATTGGTATCTATTTAATTTAGTTTTTAATTATAAATTAAATTTAAAATATAATATACTTATTACTTTTCGTAATTTTTTTGTAATATTTAAATTACGCACTACTAAAAAAAATCCCCAATTAATAGGCTTATAAAGTTCTCTCGATTTTGATTGTGTTTACCTTTCAAAATTGTTTCCTTTCAAATTAACCCTTTAATAAAACTCTTCAAAACTCTCCCAAGTTTACATGGGGAGAATAGATCTCAAATTTTCATCTTGATCTACTGTCTCGTCTCATGATAATCAATCAAAGCTTCTTATTTCCTCAACTGAACCTAGCTGCTTCAAAGTTTTAGGTTTTTCATTCAATTTCTTTTACTTTTCTTTATTTCATATTGTTGATTGTTAAAAACTCAATATCTCATGTTTGTTTAGATTTGATTACTTAGAATATCAATATGTAAAATATGAATAACAAAAGAAGAGTAGAAAAGCTAATTGAATCTGCCATCAATAAATTTTTAATTGGAAGTAAATGTGATAAACATACTGAAATAATAGAAGAAATGACAAGTATAGACAAATAAGAAATGAAAGAAAAATTTAGATGATGATACGACTGTTGAAAATGAAGTATCTAATCATGAAAAAAAGAAGAGAAAAAACTAGAGAGGAAGTTAGAGAAAATAGATTCAGAACTATGGTTTCAGTTAAAGAAAATTGCAAATGATATGGAAATACAACCAATATTTAGTGGAAAAAATGATTCGAAAAAAAATAATTTACGATTTAGATTTATTTTTTGAATTAAAAATATTAAGAGAAGTCTTGCAAAATGAAATTGATTGTCTTATTAAAATATTAAATTATATATTAAAAAAAAAAGCAAACGCTTTTTCAAATGCATATATTGCTTATAGAATACTATTAACAACATATCAGTCACACTTGCTTATGATGAAATGAGTTTTTCAAAATTAAAATTAATGAAATCGTATTTAAGGTCTACTTTATTACAAGAAAGATTAAATAGAATGACCATATTGTATGAACTTGGATTATCAAAATTTAATACATAATTTTGCATCTCAAAAAGTAAGAAAAATAAATTTATTTTTAGATGAAATTTTCTATATTAGGGCCTCCCAATCAAAGTTTTGCCTAAGGTCCCACATCATCTCGAGCCACCCCTGATTCTCTGTCGTAGTGAGGATGAAGCGATAAAAATTTTGAGGATTCTAGAAGGGTGGGGAAGGGGAAGGAAGATTAAGATTTAGGCATTTTATTTCTTTTTTAGCATATAATAAATACGAAAGCGAAAATAAATTCGCGAGAGTAGGATTCAGGTTTCTTAATTTATTTTATTATATAAAAATATAAAACATACGAGAAATAAAAGAGAGAGAGGTAGGCTAGAGTTTTTTCTGTAATATATATAATTACAAGGGTATAATTTGTAAATTGGTTAATTTCTCTTTATTTTTCGTTTTTTTGTGTGCATCCAAAAAAAAGTCCAAACAAGAAATTTTATTTTTACGGATTTTAAATTCATTGAAATTCATTCGAGCTCCACATAAGATTAGGGATTTAAAACCTTTCCTTTTTTTTTAATTTTAGAATTTAAAAATCATTTTATTTTAATTCCAAACGAAAAACAAAGCATGAGAGTTCAAATATATTTTTAAAAAAATGTGATAACATATGAAAGAAATTATGAAGGAAGAAGCATAATTTTTTGAAAACAAAATTGACTACCTTATTCCTTTGTTTATTTTTTTTTAAAAAAATGTAAGATGCATTTTGGAAATTTTTTTTTGTTATTCTCCTAAGCCTTTTTCTGTAACGGTTTTTATGTTTTTGTTTTCTTTTCTAAACCTTATGTGTGTTTGCTAATATATTCTTTATGAATTTACATCTACTTTTCTTACCAACATTGAAATTAAAGTAAATGAATCATGCTCTTCCCGGTATTCCCAAAAAAAAAGTGCTCTTACGAATCTTGCAAGGTTCTCCGACTAAATAAAAATAAATAAATTTAGACTTGATGCCTAAAATCGATTCAAGTTCAGCTTGGATCTAATCCAAGTTGGTTGACTTGATTAGAATCATACTTCATCATTTTCATTCAAATTTCTAGAGTACAAAATTAAAAAAAAAAACTTTGGCATCAAAAGAAAAATAAAAAAAAAACTTATCTGGGGTTCGATTTGGATGAGAATTAATTAAAAATACTAGGACTAAATTAAAAAATATAAAAAATTATACCGAAATATATATTTTGTCCAAAGAAAAAGAGAGACAAATATTGTTGAGAATATTATTATGAATCTAAGGTATATGCTTTCAATAAACTATTTTACAGCATATTTTTTAGATTTTTTTAATAATTGATTTTCTTAATGTTATTGTTTCTCAGTCCTAATTGGTCGGAGTCATGAAAATTTCCTCTATCAATTCAATCAAGAAGCAACGGATTTAGATAATCCTTGTTATTTGAGTGTTGCTTGTTCTAAATCTAAACCACATGTATTAAAATTAATATCTAATTCATAAATAAATTATTAAAGATTTTTGTTAAAAAGTTAAAAGCTCAAATTATAAATTTAGTCATCAAATCTTGATAGTTGTGCCTACTTAGTACCTGCGTTTTGTAAAAAAAACTAAAATTATATATCTACCTTTTCACTGTTAGATTATAATAGACTATTATGTGGACGTTGAGCATAAGTTAGCAGTTAAGATATCTTATTAATTCCTTTGAGATGAAAGGTTTAAACATTTTCCTCACGTTTGTTGTACTAAACAAAACATTGTATAGTACAATGGATGATATAAAGGTGGACATGGACAGCTTAACTTATAGCAACAAAGTATGTCATCAAAATAAAATAATAAATTGTCCTTAATTTGTCTAATTGGTCAATTGGAACCCAAATTATACCAAATCATTACTATTTTATCAAATCTAGATGCACATTAACATTTAAATTACAGTTTATTGATGACAAGAATCAAAATTAGTGGTAGTAACTAACGTAAACACAACCATAACATTTAAAGATAAAATGAGCAAAATTAGTATTTGAAACAACCAACATGAAAACAAAACATTTGAGAGTAGAAACACACAATAAATCTAAAAATTTATAGATGAAAATTAGATTTAAAATAAAATATTAATCTGTTAGCCTACCTAGGTCAAGTAGACTAAAAAAAATTAAAATATAAAGAAAAGAAAAAGGTCGCAATCTATGCAAAGTTATTATTATATTGCGATAGGTGCACCCGTGAATTACGTGGAATAAGGGGGGGCCACGTGTGCGATAGCTTTTCATGGTTAACAAAAAATGAAAATAAATTTTAATAAATCTTTTTTTGTGATTTAAAATGTAGGACTGGAGAAGGTAGTTGTCGACTTGTCGTCGCGTGTCGGTTAATCGTCTAGGGTCGGGCCAAGTAAAACCCGACCCGAACCGACCGAGGATCAACGACTTGCGGAAATGGAATCCCGGGAGAGGACTCTGAAGATGACTAGCGCCTGCTAACCGCTCGCTCTCTCTCTGCCATAAGTTATAACGAACACAGAATCGGAACCTCCTTCAAATCCGAAGAGAATCTCAATCTCAATCTCAATCTCTTCTTCTACTCTTTCTTCTAGGGCTTTGATTTTGATTTGTTTCGATTCGATTTGATTCGATTCAACTCCATTGTCGTTGCCCGGTGATGTCCAATGGACGAGGAAGATGACAGCACATTGAAGAAGCGGAAGAAGAAGAGGTTTTTCGCCACCGACAGGAGGAAGAAGCTCCTCCGCCTCAAATGCTCTGTGCAAAACTATGACTGGGGGGTTGTCGGGATTAATTCGCAAGTCGCGAGGCTGTTTTCGCTCAATTCCGGTTCCTGCAGTGCTGATCCGGAGAAATGTTATGCGGAATTCTGGATTGGGACGCATAAATCGGGTCCTTCTTTCGTTGTTTTTGGACGTGAGAATAATGCCGCTGCTCTCGGATCCAAAGCCCTGAGTCTCAAGGATTGGATCTCGGTCGATCCGGGTGCTGTGCTGGGGGATAAGGTTGCCAGGAAATGGGGAGGTGATCTTCCATTTCTCTTCAAGGTGCGGTTTCTTTTCCATTAGATCCTTTCGGGGAATGTGTTTTGTCGGTGCACTCGATTCCTTCCAAGATTACAGGAATGGAAAGAAAATTCGGGTTTTAATTATGCTCTAAATTGTGGTGGTGTGTTAGTTGATTAGTTATGCTCTTCATAGATGAATAAGAATTTCTAGAGAATTTCCAACTGAATCATCTGCTCCAGCTCCTTGAATTCTCTGTTCATTTAGTTTCCCGAATCTCAATTACCGTTCTTATTTTACTTGACGTTAATGTTTTGAGCTCAGTTGGACTGCAACTTGATGATTTCTTATTGGGAGCATAGGTGCTGTCGGTGGAGAAGCCTTTATCTATTCAGGCTCATCCAGATAAAGAATTGGCGAGGGCTTTTCACGTAGCTCAACCAAGCATCTATAAAGATGATAATCACAAGCCTGAAATGGCTCTAGCATTGACCGGCTTCGAGGCCCTTTGTGGTTTCATCAGCTCTAAGGTACAACAAAATAGTAGCAGAGGGAAGTTCTTCTGGGATTCTTGAAGTCTTTCTTATACTTATTTTCAGAATAACCATCTTTGTCCCCCTGTTTTTTAAGTGAAAACATCATAATGGTTCTTACTCAGTTTGTATTGCTCAAATTGGATTATAAAAGAGGAAAAGAATCTTAAATAAAAAAGTTGATTCAGCTTTTTGGTTCAACAAGCCTGCATTTATTTCCAAATGAATGAGGAAGATAAGTAATAGATAATGAATGAACTTTCTTTATAATTGCTTTACTTTGCAAAATCTGTGGTTGTACTTATTTCATCATCTTTCAGGAGCTCAAGGGAGTGCTTAGTAGCGTTCCTGAGATAGTAGAATTGGTTCAAGAGGCAGATGCAGAGAAGTTTTCAAATGATAGTGAGCAAGATGGGAGGGAGAAAGTAAAACCACTTTTTGAATCCATATTTAGTCAGATCATGTCATCTAGCAAGGGCGCAGTTCGTGAGGCTGTATCTAAACTAAAAAGGCGTCTTAGTTTGGAGAAAAAGGTAACCGAAGTTTCATTTCTCTGCAGATTTTTCTGTCAGGAGGATTGCGTGTCTCTCAATGAAGACATTGTGTTTTAAATCTCAAGTATTAGGCTTACCACTTCCCTACAAATTGTGTTAAGCATTGTGAAAACATGAATTGCAGAATATTTCAGGTTTCCATCTTTATACTGTATGCATATGCAAGTTATTAGTGAACGAAAGAATACCATGTGAATTTAAAGGCACCTATTGAATTCTTTTACTAGTAGAATCATTGATATGATTATATAAAACATTTTTGCTAATTCATCTTTAGTAACCAGTAATTCAGTGACTTAGTTTATCCCAGAGCTTACATCCCTTTAGTGGCCATTCATTATAGACTGCATGACGCCCTTAGAAATTTTGGTTTGCAGGCTGACTCTTGTCATTTGTTTTCTATTTCTACCAAGTGTGGTAGCACTATAAACCTTATAACTTTTTTTGTTAAATATTAATTTATATGTTTTAGCATTGTATGGATCATATTATGTAGAGCACATTTAAAACTTGAACAACTAATAGGACTGGTCAACTGCTCATGCCTTCGTATAGCTACTATCCAACAAATGTTTGGCTTTTAGCATGACAAAGGTTAGGCAGAAACATTTGGAAATGCATAGTTGAGTCCATAAAATTGTAGTTTGGATTATTCTAGAGTCTGAATCATGTGGAACTGATGAATCAGTTTATTTACATTCTCAAATTTCTGATTGTTTGTTGTTTGGAGAAGAATGAATATAAATGTGCTGAACAATGAATATGACGTTATTGGTGGGACTCCTAAACAAGCTAATAGAATTGTCGAGTCAAGGAATAAATGATGTATATATGGCATGGTAGAGTTCCCGTATTTGCCACCCTGAACTTAATTCCTACTAAGAAGAAGGATGTGTGGACGTGGACCTATATAAGCCTTTTTTCTCATAGATGGTATCAGCTCAGGAACAGCACCATATTCTGTTTGAAGTTATTTCAATTAATATCAATCATAATTAGCAAGTTCTGCGATTTATGCAAGGATATATTGAACATTAAAGCTTAACCTGTTCTTCTCACTTCATCAATCTCTGCAAAGTATTATCTGTTTACGTTATTATTATTATTTTTTATTTCCCTTTTGTAACTTCTTATTCATTACATTTATTTTTATCAGAAGAGGCAACTGTCTGTCAAAGAACAACTGGTTCTCAGACTAGAAGCTCAATATCCTGCTGATGTAGGTATACTAGCAGCATTTTTTCTGAACTATGTGAAGTTAAAACCGGGCGAAGCATTATATCTTGGTCCAAATGAACCCCATGCATATATTTCTGGGGAATGCATTGAGTGTATGGCAACCTCTGACAATGTTGTTCGTGCTGGCCTTACCTCTAAAAAAAGAGACGTTCAGGCACTTCTTTCAATGCTCAACTACAAACAGGTAATCACTTAATCTATGCAGAAGCTGATGTTGTATAATGGTGCGATTCTAATGTGTAAAAATTATATGTGGCTGTTGATTATTAGTTTCCATGTTCACTTTT